CCCCACCCCCCACAATCCCCTGCACCTATTATTACATTATGTGGGGCCAGCCCAGTACTTCATCTATGGCATCAGGTTTCCGTGTATAGAAGCGGCTTTAGTTGTGTTCTATTTTCATCTCCGCCTCTGCTAGGCTGTAGATGCAAGTGTTGACCATTTAGCAGTTATCCTTTCTAAGTTTCAGGCTGCCATATGTAACATGGGCTCTGTTGTAGTATCTACTGAAGAAAATTGCTGTGAAAATTGAAATACAGTAAGGTCAGAACTCAGTAAATTGTAGATGTGAATAAACTGGAAAATGATTGGTGCTGACAAGAGATATATAGATGCAGTGGGAGTTCAGAGGTAAAAATGAACTTGAAACTGTTGCTTTAAGTAGCGCGCACACCCCCCCCCACACGCCCCAAGTATTCTTTAGCTAATCAGCAGAGCTGGGAAACTCCACAGTTGTGGCTTTACTGTGATCTGTTACAAAAGGCAGTGCTTTCTGTGTGCTTACCAGTCTCAAACAGAGTGTGCAGAATTGCAGCAAGAACAAGAAAAACATGGAGAGAGAGAAAAAAAAATCAGTGCTCCAGGCCAAGGTTTCCCAAGACTTCAATTAAGTTTCTTGAGAAACTGTAGACATTTGCCTCCGGCTGCCAAGTTGCAGTGGTGGGAGAGGAGGCCTGGCTTATCATCTTATGAAATGAAATTGGTTACAAAACACATTTGCTCGCAGCCCAAATCCAGAAGCTAATCCTCATCCCAGCTTAGTACTTAGTAGGTGACAGTTTGGAGATTTGAGCCTACAGATGAAGAAGTCCAGGACTGGAGGCCACGACTGTGATTTCTGGCCCTGGTTTTCTCCGAGGCCGGGCAAGTCATGCCCATCTTGCCCCCTCCGCTCCTTTCTCACTCGCAGGAGTGTTGGCAAAAGAACGGGGGGCGGGGGGGGGGGGGGGGGGCGAGGGCCTTCTCAGCTTCAGCGACCAATGACAACTTTTCAGTGGGCAACTACAGAGCAGCCAGTCTCACATTAGTTCCTTTGGGCAATCCTCGCAGATGTAAAAAGGAAGTACACTGCACAGCCAAGCAAGCCATCAACAAAACAAAAAGGCAACCTACAGACCAGGAGAACATATTTGCAAATCATATCTAATAAGGGATTACTATCCAAAATATATAAAAATCTCATACAACGCAATAGCAAAAATACAATCTGATTTTAAAATGAGCAAAAAAAAAAAAAAAGAATAGATATTTTTCTAAGGAAGATATACAAATGGCCAGCAGGTACATGAAAAGATGCTCAACATCACTAATCATCAGGGAAATGCAAATCAAAACCACATTGAGATATCACCTCACACTTGTTAGAATGACTGTCATAAGAAAGACGAGAAAGAACAAGTGACACGGATGTGAGGAAAAGGGACTCCTGTGCGCTGTTGGTGGAACTGTAAATTCGTGCAGCCACCACTGTGGAACACAGTATGGAGGTTTCTCCAATAAATTAAAAATACAGCTACCACTTTACCCAGCAGTTCCACTTGTGGGTATTTATCCAAAGGAATCAGAATCACTATCCTGAAGAGATCCCTGAACCCCCATGTTCACCGCAGCATTGTTCACAGTAGCCACGGAAACAACCTAAATGTCCATCAACGGATGAAAGGATAAAGATGTGATGTATACATACAGGCATACATACATTGGAATATTATTCAGCCATAAAAAAAAGAAGGAAATCTTGCCATTTGCCACAACATGGATGGGCCTTGAGTGAAATTAAGTGAAAGAAGTCAGACAGAGAAAGACAAGTATTATATGATCTCACGTGTAGAATTCAAAAAACCAAACTTATAGGAACAGAGGACAGATCGTTGGTTGCCAGGGGTGGGAGATGGAGGGAGTGGGTGAAAGTGTTCAAAAGATACAAACTTCCAGTTATTAGATAAGTTCTGGGAATGGAATGTACAGCGTGGTGAGTATAGATAATAATACTGCATTGTATGCATAAAAGTTGCTAAAAGAGTAGAACATAAGAGTTCTCATCACAAGAAAAAATGTGTAACTATGTGACGTGATGGATGCTAACTAAACTTATTGTGATCATTTTGTGACATATATATAGATAGATAGATAGATAGATAGTCATTGTGTTGTACACCTGTGTTATATGTGTGAAATGTAAGTTATATCTCAATAAAAATGGAAAAAATAAGTATTAAAAAAATTTAAGACAATTGTTTTAAAAAGGAAGAAAAATACAGAGAGAGAATAATACAGCAGACGCAGAGAAGCCATCAGAGCCTGGAGATCTGACCCTGCGAGTAAGAGGAGTGATGTGCTGGACCCGGCCCTCCTGGGCTTCCAGAGAGCCCACTATACATTATTCAGAACATTTCAGTCGTTTGCTAAACCATCAGTAGCTTGAAATCAGCTACAGTGGGGATATTTTCACCAGGAAATTGGCAAACGCTAGACATCAGGGCTTCCCCGAGCCCTCTAGAACTGGTTTGCCGACACTCCACTGAGGGGGTGCCAAACGTTATGCTTTGGGGCCGGCTAGGGGAGCAGTCCTGCAGGCCGCCTATGGCATCACAGAGACCTAGGTTAAAATCCCAGCTCCATCACTTACGATAATAACTGGGTGACCTTGGGCAAATTACTTAACCCTCCATGTGTATGTAGCACACATGTATGTGCCAGATATAGTTCTCAGCACCTTATACATGTTAAGGCATTAATTCCTCACAACAACCCTGTGAAGAAGGAACTATGATTATCCCCATTCTATAGATGAGGAAAGTTGAGGCAAAAGGAGGTTATGGAATTCAGCCAAGATCCCACAGCTAGTACGTGGCAGGGCCAGGATACGAAGCCAGGCAGTCTGGTTCCAGAGCCTGCCCTCTGTCCTGCTGGCCCTCACTGCCCAACACAGCAGGCACTGGCCACATGTAGCTATTGAGTACTCCAAACGTGGCTGGTCTGAACCGAGATGTGCTGTGAGTGTGAAATACACGTTGGGTTTCAAAGGCTTATTGTTTTAAAAAAAATAGAAAATATCTCCTTCATACTTATATTGATTATGTGTAGAAATAATATTTTGGATATATTGGGTTAAATAAGGTATACTATTAAAATTAAGTTCCCTGTTTCTTTTTTTTTTTTTTTTAAGTTTTTTTTTTTTAATTGGGGAATTGGGGGGATGGGAACATTGCTGGGGGAATTGGGGGAAGGGGAACAGACAAGTTGCTGTCATTTTGTTCTTCAATCTAGTTGTGGAGGATGTTGCTTCACTGGCCCAAGTTGGCACCATCATTGCGCTCTTCTCTGGCGAGGCAGATCAGTCGCCGGCTTCTGGACGGCCGCTCACGCTGGCTGCTGGCCACACACGGTAGCCCATGGCAATCCACTGCCACAGGGACTGCAGCCCACGCCGTCGCCGGCGACTCACGGCAGCCCAGCTCCAGGTTGAGCTGTTGTTCAGCATCTTAGCTGTGGAGGGCAGTGTCACTGGCCCTCATATGTGGGATCCGAACCGGGGCCCTCTGGCATCCCAAGCGAGTTCTTAACCATCGCGCCACTCGGCCGGCCCTCTTTTATTTTTTTAAACGTAGCTGCTAGAAAATTTTTAATGACCTGGTGACATTATAGTGCTGTTGGAGAGTGCTGTCCTATACTGACCTCATAGCTTGGTGTGAGTATTAAATCAATTAATACAAGAAAAGCACTGAGCACAGTGCCTGGAACTAATTAACATCCACCAGCTATTATTAATATTAGTGAGATTAATGGTTTTCAAATGTTTTTTTTTTTCAAGCAACTTCTTACAACAGATAAAAGAGGAATTCTGATGGAAGCAGAGCACATCCTAAGGTCACCTCTCAGTGGCCCTTTCACCCTGGGTAACACCCCCACAGGTTGGAAAACCACATGGTTCAACCATCTTTAAATGTCCTTCAAGATTTAGCACTACATGACTGTAATTTCAGAGAAGGTAAAGAAGTGGTATTGGATAAGATCAAGGTGTCTGTGGCAGTGTTTTTAAAATTATCATGGATCTTAAATGTCTTCCCACAAAAGAGAATCGATAATTATATGACGTGACAGAAGTGTTAGCTAACGCTGCAGTAATCATATTGCAATATATAAGTGTATCAAATCAACACATTTTACACCCTTAAACTTGCACAATGTTATATGTCAATTATGTCGCAACAGAAAAATAATTAATTAATTAAATACCAAAAAGAAGAAATTATCACAGAAAAACACTACCATTTTTCTTGGGAGAATCAAAGTGGTTTGGTCCAGACACAGTCCAGAAAGCAGGGTGTCATATGTGACTGGGGAGAGAGGGTCACTATGGGTCCCTGGGTCATCAGCTGCACATACTATACCTACACACCATGGCACATCTCCAGTTCTGATCACAACCTGCCAACGCCCCATCTCTACAGGCCCTGGGGAAGGCTCTAGAACTGGCTGCAGGCACCAGTGAATGAATATCGCAAGGTCTAGCTCCAGGGAAGGACATGACACTCAGCCCAGACACTACAATGACTTTGCTGTCCTGCAGGCAACTCGGGGCTTCGTCAGCCCGGTGTCTGCGAGGGAAACCTCCCAGTTTCTCCAGCAGCCCTCACCCTGGCTCTGGTATGTGTGTGTGGATAGGGATAGCAGCCAGCTCTTCGCCGGGCTCTCTAACAAGTTCCACGAGTCTGTTTGCTAAAGAAAAATTCCAGTCGGTGCATCCAACACATGGAACTCAAGTACAGAAATTATATTTATCCACCCTACTGCCAAGGCGATCACATGCCCCGTGAGTCACTCCAGATGTGCTCAAAAACAGTCTTCCTGTGGAAGCCCAGTGCCCCAATCCCAGAGAGAGTCAAAATAAGAGGTCCCAACTCCCGTCCCCCCAGGAGGCAGCCTGTGCCTCCACCTCCTGAGGCGGGAGCGGGCATCTGCTCTGTGAAAAGGGAAAGGGGGTAAGCACTGGACCATCTTGCTGGGAGGACCGGTACGGGCACACCTGTAGCTCCTGGGGTCCCACCGGGGGCTTCTCACCTTTGTGGAGCAAAAGATGTGTTGGAAGACACTGCTGATTCTGCTGTTGTGTTACGATGCTCAGGCTACTGTGTCCCACAGGTGGAGCAGGGGTGAGTTGCTTTTTATTTACTTGTTTGATGCTCATCATTCTTCTTTAGATACAGTTAGGAATTTGGGGGCGGGGGAATGTGGAGAAGAGGAGGAAATTGGAATCCCCACATCTTCCTCCTATCTGATCTCTGCCAATCGCTTTATGTTTCTTGACATGTTAGAAGGTGTTAGAAGGTGATGGGGAAAATGACACTGAAAAAAAATTAAAGCTGCTGAGGGGAACAGAGAGAGCATCCTCTCTCTGACATGCCACAGGAAGTCATCTTTGCTTCACAGAATGTGGACACACTCCCTTGAGTTTCCCCGAACCCCAGGCGGCTGGAGCTAGGCAGGTGCCCAGGTCTGATGCTCACACCATGGGGCTGTGGGTGCCAGGATGTTACCTGGAAAGCCTAAGAGGCTCTGGGCCTGCACTGCCCAGTATGGGGTCTCAACACTACTGCCTGATCAGGAGTGGACCCAGCCTTCCAGCTGGGTAGAGCTGGCCCAGCGGCAGGAGAAAGGGTAAACCTTCAGTATCTTCGTGTCTGCCTGCCTGCCTGCCTGCCTGCGGCTCCCACCGGATGGCCAGTCCACCTCCCAAAGGAGGACCCAGCACGGTCTTATCCCTCATGGCCGACGTCCTTTTCCTCGGGATGTAGTTCCTCGCAGCCAGAATGCCATCTTTTCTCTGTGTCCCGGGACTGGCTCCAGGTGGCAGACGCCAAAAGCACCCCCAGCCAGTTAATGTATCACTGTTAGGAAGTGAGGGACCAACAGTGCTGACCACTCCGTGCCAGGCTGAACTGAAATCTTTCCGCCTGCCGCCCAAAGTCAACTGAGGTCTCTCTCCCGGAAAAATAAGTCAGGCTCCTAGGTGTTTCTAGAGATCCAAAATAGGGATGAAGGCTGGCATGGAGGCATGAAGATGAGCTTCTGGCTCTCCAGGGAAAGGAAGGAACAGCCAAGTGGGAACAGAGCTTGCAGAGCAAATGGATACAAATTGGGGGGGGGTGTGCAGCAGGGGGCTAAAGCCACTGTACTTATTTGGGCTTTTATTCCCTCATTTTTAAGCCTGAGAGTAGGGACTTGTTAGTTCTCTGAGCTGAGCTGTGACATGATTGTTGCCCAGGGGAAAACTGTATTTTCCTTTATTTTTGTTAAGACCATTACACACAGACCCCTCCTTGCTCATCAGGTGCGCAAACTTTGGGGGCAACACTTGGAAGCAGAGAGCAAAGAGATATTGGAGTTATATTCTGCCCCTTACCGCGCGCTATGTGATACTGGGGGGAGGGGTGGCTTACTTAATTTGCCTACAAAAAACGAGATGGTAATATCCACTCTTCCTAATGCACTAGAAAGCCAGAGGCGATGGCCTGCTTTGTCACAAGGCTTGTAAACACGAGCTACCCTGCAAGGAGCTCAGAGATTTGTTTCTGCCTCCAGCTGGCTGTGTGATCTCGGGCAAGTCTCCTAACCTCTCTGAGCTTTAGTTCCCTGACAGGTAACATATTAACAATAAAACTTACCTTTTCCGGGTTGTTGCGAGGGTCAGACTCAAAAATGTAAATACAGTGCTTTGTTAATGATGAAGTACCCTATAAATGTTAGCCACTTAAAAATGAAAAAAAAAATCATTAAAGAAAGCTTGAGACTCTCAGCAGAGGGTTCTCTACAGCAGCACCCTGGGAGCAGCTGCTCTGGTCCCCACACCGCCCTCACCGGGGAAGATCTGCCCTCAATAGCAATAACAATCTAAATCAGTTGTTCTCAACCTTTCACAGGGGTCGCCTAAGACCATCGGAAAACACATCTTTTCGATGGTCTTAGGAACCGAGACACCGCTCCTCTATCCGTCTCCAGGCCCACATGCAGATACGCCCACATACCAGTACCGGCGACCCCTGTGAAAGGGGTCGCGACCCACAGGTTGAGAACCGCTGATCTAAATAAAGACGCAAAGCCGACGCAGCTGAAACAGGGACCAGGAGGCAGCAATGTCAAGCGCTAGATTAGTCCGTTCACTTCAGTATTCAGTCAACAAATGATATGGAGTCCCTCCAACCAACATCAAAATTCTTCCACGTGGTTGTTTTCCATTTCTCACATTTTTTTCCCGAATTATACAAAGAATGCACAACTGCCATCTTTTTTTTTTTTTTTTTTTTAACCCATTTATTACAGGCTACCAATATCTCAATTGTGGAGCTTCTACTGGTCTTTGAATTCCTTTTTTTTTTTAAGATGGAATGGGAGTCACACTCAAATTAAAAAAAAAAAAAAAGATCCAAATGTACTTCCTGTTCCTTTCACCTTCATCCTTACCCTACCCCCCAACCCCACCCTAAATCCAGGCCTAATTTCGAAGAATTCCCTTTGGCAACAGCCTGAGGGTGACCACCCCCTCTTCCACCACATACTCCAGGCCCAGCCCTCACCCTCCACCACCCGCCCTGTCCCGCCCAAGTGTAGAAATGTAGAAATAAACCCAAAGGGAATATACCCGGCTGTCAGGACGTCCCCTTTCCTACCAGGTCTTGCGCCCAGCCTCTCTGTAACACGCGCTCTCTAGGATTTTGCTCTGGGAGGTAGCTTTCAAGCCAGGATCACTGTTCCGGCCCCACCAACCTGATGAAGACCAAATGACTCACCTGTGATCAGCATGGCCAGCCGGGAACAGGACACACCTGGCCCAAGTCCACGCCCACCCCCGCTCCTGCCAGAGCAACCCTTGAGCAGGCTGGGGGAACTAGCCAGTCTTTTACAAATTATCTATGTATTCATGCTATATAAAAATCTATGTTTTGGTTAAATCCATATAAATCATTTCTTTTTAAAGCAGTTTAATAGGGAAGGGTAGCCCTTCGGTTAGGTGGCAGAATTTATGTCACTTTCCGGGGTCCATTTGAGTGTTGTGTGCATTGTCAGTCATGAGTGTCCCATGAAGAAAGGGGCCGTGGTCAGTGTTGAGTGAGTATGATGGACTAACTGGTGTAGCTTTACTGAGTACGCCATGCGTAACCACCTCGTTTACTCCACAGTCACTCCATGAGGCAGGTGCTATTCTGACCACTTACAGGTAAGAAAACTGGAGTTAGGGAAGAAGTTAATGTGCCCAGGTCACTCAGCCAGCAGCAAGAATAGAGCTGGATTTCAACGTCCCCCGGCCCCCAGGTCTGTGGTATCAGAGTCCCACTGTCATTCATCCCTCTCTATCCCTTCCAGGTGCTCCTGTGCTCCCAACAGCCCCAAGTTCCCCCTGGGTGGTGGAACTTTCTGGCCAAGGCGAGCTGACTCATAGCAGCCCTTTCAGAAGCACTCCCTTTGGACCCCAGCGCTCGGGGCCAAGCTCCTGGCTTGCTCACAATATCACAGTGTTTCTTGAAGGGCTGGCCCAGGCACAAAAAAGTAAATGACATCAGTAGGATCTGGCAAAAGATCTTTTATAAATGAGAGCTTTTCCTTTCCACACCCACTGGCATGTCCATAGAGTTGCTTCAACTGATTCATTAAAAAGATGGTTGCATTTTGGCTTGAAATGGTCTGTAGTTGGGATCCTTTCCAACAAGCTCCTTGGTAGAAACGCTGTGCACAGCTCAGTGAAAACCATGGTTTACCTTAACACTGCTCTGTTATAGCGACCCTATTGGGGCATGGGAGGGAAGAAGAGATTTCTATCCCAGATTATAAAAAGCCAAAGAGAAGCTCAGGCTCAAAGCAAAAAAAGGCTTCTCTGTGTAGGGAGGCCCCTGCCAATAGGTCTGGGCAAGAAAGCTTGGAGGGGCTAAGGCATGTGGGGTACAGGTGCCAACCTTGACTGAGATGATGAAAAGTAGCTTTTCCCAGGCCGATACAGAAGCTCCTTGGAGATGAAGGGAGGGAATGGTACAGACAGGAAACAACATCTACTTTCTGATAATTCGCCAGGACCTGTAACCCCAAATAAGTTCTAGAATCAGTCTGTCAGACAGAGAAGGAATTAACGAAGCACTCTTAGAAAAGAGTGGAGTTTAGCGACAAAGGTAGTTCATGTGTGTCTATGGGATCGTTTATTCATTCAACAAACAGTCCTGGGCAGGCTGCCAGGCACTGGGAATACAGCAGTCAACAAAAGGGGCAACATCCCATGCCTTCGTGAAGCTGACATTCTAGTGAGGGGAAGCAGACAACAAACACACATAGAAATAAAACATCTGGACTGTGAGATGGCAGTAATATTGGGAAGGGTTAGAGGGTATCAAGGATTATAATTTTAAATATGGTCGTCAGGGAGGGCCTCCCTGAGGAGGTGACTAAAGACCTGAAGGAAACGTGCGAGTGAGCCATGCAGTCTCCAGGAAAGAGTATTCCAGGTGGAAGGAACAGAAGCGCAAAGGCCTGCAGCAGAAGCGTGCCTGGGGTGCTCGAGGGGCAGTGAGGGGGCCAGTACCTGGAGTGGCATGAGCCAGGGGACAGCAGCAGATGAGTTCAGGGACATGGCGAGAGGTCAAGGCACGCAGCACCGAGTGGCCATTTGAAAATCTGGCTTTTACTCTGAGTGAGATGGAAAGCCATCGAGGGTTCTGGGCAGAGGAGTGGCATCCCCTGACCTATGTTTGCTCAGAATCGCTTTAGGTGCTGTGCTAAGAATTAGAATGAGGGTGGGAGCCCAGGATGGGAGCAGAGACACCAGTAGGAGAGGTGCTGAGGACTCGGACCAGGGGGCTAGCAGGGGTGAGACAAGAAGTAGCCAGATTCCAGATCTATTTTGAAGGTCGTGCCAACAAGACTTGCTGATTAGTGGGATGCGAAAGAAAAAGTCAAGCGTGACTCCCAGGCCTTTGGCCTGAGTAACAGAGATGAGAAGACGGCAGATGAAGCAGGAGACGTGTGGAGGTGCGTGAGTGTTGGGGGTTGGGGTTGCGCTGGGGATCAGGAGAGATACCTATTACACATCTGAAAGGAGATTCCTGTAGGCAATTAGATATATAAAAGCCTGGCCTGGAACTATAAAGCTGAAAGCCAGCAGGGAAGTGAG